TTCAAAGATAGTACGTTGCTCTGGGGTAGAAAGTGCACAACCAATTTTAATAACGTTAGTCTACAGCAAATCGTGTCTACTTCTGGCATAACGGCGTGACAACACAGATCCAAAGGAAGGTTATTTGAGGGTCTCGTAATGTCAGTGAGGTTTAACAATCATCCATTTAACGGCCTAAAAGCTAATAGTCAAATACGAAAGCAGATTACCGTAAAGAGAGGCGGCTAAAATTATTCTTCAAATGTCGAAAAATCTGCTGGCTCAAAAGCTAACGGGGAATTAAACAATGCCTGAAATACTATACCAAGTTCAGATCAGTTTAAATTTTCCCATACAAACTTAGGCACAAGTTCGTAAGGCAGAAATGTTAACAAACTAAGGAGGTAGGCACCAAGTCGACATATCAGTTTGTCATCATGATGCTAGGATACGGAGACGAAATGCTGCCAATCAACCTTCAACAACAACAAGGTCTGTCTACCCATTTTAACCATACTAGATGAAATCATCTTGAATTCGAAACCCGGATGCGCCGGGGACTAAGCTTAAAATTTTAATTCCTGTTAACAATCTTAAGATCTTTTTCTTTTTTTTTTAACTCATGGTGGCTCAAAACATTTTCCAGCATTCTCCAAGAGTTAGATTTTATGGGTAATAAATTATAATTATGCACTCTTTATCAACTGATGCTATAGTCATGGTATAAATAGACTGCCCAATCATTGGTGAACACGTTATTATCATTTCCATGACACAACAGGTTACCATAGTACCAGTATGACATGCTAAAAACACCCCTTATTGTAGCTTTAAGGGCTTAGGAAAAAGGCACGATGAATTTTTTTTTTTTTTTTCATATTATCAAATTGTGACTAGCAAGATAAGACGCAACTTTTAGCAAAGGTTTTAAAAAATCTGTCTACGGAGTTGAGAGTCACCTTAAAGTTTTGAAAATTTAAGTTGGCTCTGAGCCCTATAAAAAGAATTTTTTAGACTTTGCCAAAAGTTGTGTCTTATTCTGTTAATCAAAATTTGACAATATAAAAAACTTTCACTGTGCCGTTTTTGAAATATAAGTACTTAAAGCTAAAATTAAGGGGGATTTTAACAGGTCATATTGATGCTATGGTAACCTAATGTGTCCCAAACATGATAACCACGAAACGTAGCATTGAAGAGTTGAAAGATTCATACATGTACCTGTATTTTGGATATGAATGTACGTCATTCTTCAACTGGAAAAGAGCAGCTTGCTTTTTGTAGACGCTACACCATGGCTAACATGAAGAAACAGAGTCATGTTAGAAGTATTGCTGTAAAGAAAATACTTTCCGACTAACGACTTTCATACTTCAGAGGACAAATGTTACCTATTCTTGAAGTATGCGAGGTTGACCTTCTTATTACCGAGTCCTAGTTAGAATTTTCAACTCAAATTAGAGATGATTCCACGGTAGTATAGCGGGAAGTTTGTTGGATTAACAACGATTATTAATTGCATTATGCATTGATATTATTGGTCCAAACTGCATGTGCATTATCATTTTCCAATCTTGTATTGTCCATAACAAATTAACGAGACCAATTTTGACACGGCAATGACGAGACCAAACTGGTTACTAAGCAACAAGACCATCCAAGGGAAAACTGGGCTACCAAAACAGTTTCATTTTGGTTTCACTTTTTTTAGCTTTTACCGAACGTTACATGCTACTACAACGTCTAATAATTAAAAAGAATTCAAATGCCAAAGAGTGGCAAGCCTACCGTAGCATATCCGATAAAGAAAAGCTGGTCCACACTGAAATCCAGGCCAGGCAACCGTTCCTCTTTTCCATTGTCCTTGACCCAAGATTGATAAGCCTAAATATTCAGTTAGAGTGGATCAAGAAGGAAATTGTTTATGTGTAAGGTGTTAAGTGCCAAACAAGCATACGACCTTTCAGTAATAAAAGGAACGCTTAAAGATTGAATAAAGTTTGGATTTCGGCTGCAGGTAGAAAATTACAAGATTAATGGAAAGATGTGGGCCTCTAGACATTTACGTTCTATTTACTATATTCAAGACAGCGGATCCAAGATAGTAACTGTTCGATATCATAGAGGATCACAAGGGATTGTTTTGTCCGCTTTTTCACTTCGCCATTTATTTTTCTTTGCTTTTATCCCTTTGTGCTAGTCTAAAACGCGTTAGGAATGGCAAATACTTTATCTGCTATTAGATAAACATGTCAACTTTATCTTCAGCTTACTAGAATCAGAAAATAAATAACTAAAATGATGGCTTACCTCATAAGCAAGCTTTATCCCTCCATTATCAGCTATGTTTTCATTCAAAGTTTGTTTGCCATCTATCTGCAAGACAATAATACAAGACAAAGTTGTTTTACGTCTTCTAACTTTCAAGTCCACGGGTGGGATCCTATGGAATGTGGGACTATTAAAGAACAATGTATTAAGCAGGTATACAATTTAAAGGAGGTTCTACCTAACTTTCAGTATGTGGGTGGAATATGTCAGATTGTAATTGGAACATGGTGGAAGCATGTCAAACAAAATGTATTACGCCCTTTTATCTTCTAACAGCTGACAGTGTGAACGAATAATGACCTGGGCCGGGAATGATCAAATGAAAGCCATTGAGCAGTACTTTCAGAGAGTATAATTTACAAATCAAAGTGGTTCTAACTGTAAATGTGTGATGAAATGACAAAAGAATGTATGACCACTAATTAGGACTTTTAGTACGTTGTCAAGGTGTGACGTTTTGTCTTACTTACATATTCTCCAAACACTTGGTAGTCGTTGTATTGATTTACCAGACATTCAGTTCTTCTCTCAAAATCCAGCGTCGAACTGAAAGACCACCAATCCTTCACATTTCCATATTTATCAAAAAGTCGCCCTAAAAACGTAAATTATTTATCAACAGCTTTTAGAACTTCCACAATTTATCCCTCAAATATTTGAGTTATGTGACGACCTTGACGAGGGTAATAATCTCCCGGTGTAAAACTTTCAACAGTGCCTTCTGCGAATATCTATCAGACTCCTAGAAAGACGATCTAAGACCTTATACAAATATGAAGTTTTAAGGATGGTACAGGCTTGAGAGGTCAGGTTTGGAATACGGTATGGAAAAACATACATTTTAGTCTTAAATAGACCAAGAGGTTTTACAGTCTGGGCGTCTCACTCCTACCAAACATTCCGGAAAGGCATGGTAGGCGAACAAAACTGAAAATAGGGAGCAGCTACAGATAACCCGCCAATTACTGATCAAATTAATTGATATTCATTATTTTATTATTATTATTATTATTTTTTTTTTTTTTTTTTTTTTACGCCTTGCCCGTACTTGCGAGGAAACTTGCCTGTCCGCGTTTCTCCACCTAACGCAAGTTTCTAGGCAAGTTCAGCTTGCGGCTACTTCCAAGTCCGTTTTGCCAGGGCTTTAGAAGCACAAAAGAACCCAAAAGATTACAGTGTTCCAGACAAATCAATAATTGTTGGAATATCCATTTACTGGAAAAGAATCTCAACTAAACGAGAACTTTTGAAATAAGAATAGTAGGAAAGTTTTAGCCTTCGTCGCAGACGGAATATACCCAAGCAGCAACGCAAGCTAGGAAGTCATAGACATTATTCAGTTTTTCTCACAGAAACCTTTTTTTATTTATTTATTTATTTTTTTTCATTACAAGATAAATATAGCAGCCAGAAATTAANTCAAAATACAAACATTATTTACAACATGGTGTGTCTGTCAAGTACACATACAAACTACTTACAAGACCAAGAAACGTTGCAATTCAATTCTATCTAAATGTTCCAATATCATTATGTATACCACCTACGTAAGGGAAAAGAGATGTCTACCCTTAAAACACTAAATACATGAAACTAACTGATTAGACTAGAACGGTGCCCTTGAAGGAGCATCTTCTTTATTATATTTAACTATTAGTTGAATTTAATCTATATTTTCAACGTTATATTTTGTGTTTAATTTATTGACAAAATCAGAGAAAGTAATTGATCTATTGTGGAGTTTGCTGGTGTATATGTAATAGCGCATAAACAACATGGTATAACTGAGTTTTCTTAACAGAGTTTTGTTTGCAATTGAAGAGGTGGGAAAAAGGCCAAATAAAGTTTCTTTAACAGACGGGTGTTGATTAGTATAATTAACGTTATTGAACCATTGAATAACTCTTCGCTGGAAAGCTTTTGAAAATTGGTAGTTAATAAAGGTATGTTCGATGGAGTCTTTATTTCCACAATATAAACAATCACTATCTTGTTTGATACCGAAGCGGCATAATTCTTTCTTGGTGACTATAATTCTGTGTAAGAATTTGTAATGGAATTCTTTTAATTTATTTTCTCTGCAAATCTGTTTTGCCAAATTGAAGATATGTTGCAAGACATTCATTATATATAGCTATAACTACCTGTGCTGTCAAATCCGTGTGTAATTTCGTGTCCAATAACCATTGCCAATGATCCATAGTTGAGATATCTACAGGGACAGCATTGTACACTGAGTTTTACTAAGATAAATTCTTATACTCCACGCAACTTTGATTGTACAAGAACGGGTCTCAATGAGTGGCAAGCAGTGATGGGGAACGTCGAATATGACAGCCTGAATTTGTTTCGAAATTTAATAACGTTTAAATTAGCAACTATTTTTGAAACTGGTTAAAAAAGTGTTCTGATCACTAGATCATAGCACCTCTAGCATAACACCTCAGAGCACCTTTTTAGATCAGTTTCAAAAACAGTTTCATGTCTTAAGTTAACAAGGTTACTGATCGCGCAAATAACAATAACATGGCTATGTTTGTCGTGTTACTAACCCGACGAGAGAGAAAAGAGGCAGGAAAATAGTTCGTGTATTTCTTTACCCTACAGCAGTCTCTCTTAGAATGCCAGTGAACGTTTTCATTATTACTTACTTTGGGTAGCCTTTTCTGTAAAATGGAGATTGCAGGATT